TCCATGATGCTGTTCCCATCAACTCGGAGGCATTCTTTCTCTTACTGGATGTCAGAGCTCAGGGGAACATCAGAGGCCAGCTGGAAAACAAGACTTGTCCTATGCAGTTTGAGAGGTTTTTTTTTCCCTGAGGAGAAACAAAAATCCCAGTGTAGGCTGGGCATAATTGGTATCACAGCAGACTTCTGTAGATGACAGACGAGTGAAGTAAAGCTAAATGTTCTTTCCACTGTCTGTAATTTCATGTGGTGGCTTAATTTTCCAAGTTATTTACGTGGAGGGTTTTTTGTTGTTGTTGTTTAATTTTTAAAGATGTAGAATACCTAAAAAGGCAGCTGAGTATGACTTAAACTTGCTCCATATAGCAAATTTGTTTTGACTTGCTGTTTAAGATTTTGAGCAATGCAAACAGGAAAGCAGTATCTTGACAAATGAAGCCTTTTTGTAGTAATGTAATTCTTTGATGCTGGATAGGATAACTGTGGACTGTACTTTTGGGTTTGTTTTAAATGTTCATTTTAAAAACAACAAATTTGCTTTTCTATTAGATCAGTTTTTTTCATTCAGCTGACCTGTGTTATCTGTGACAATGCTGTAAATAAACACGATGCATCATATTATGGGTGGGAAAAAAAATTCAGTGTACTTCCTCCCCTAGATTAAAGAACTTGATGCAGACAAACTGTGTCATGTCCAGTAATTCATTCAACAAAACAGTTCTTTTCGTCATTTGCTTTGTAAACCATCTTACTTAATTCTGAGCGTGTTTATTGCTCTTTGTCTTGGAAATGAAAGTGGTGTAATTCTACCCCAGTTTTGTATGTAAGTGTGGACAAAATGCAGTAGTCTTAATTTGTTTTCCTTGCTCTTTACTTAGAAACAAATCTCTCTTAAAGATCCATTCAGGTATTATTGCTCATTTTTGGTAGCTTTGTATCATTCTCCATTCAGTGTTGTTTGTTTTTTTTTTTAATGCTGAAGTATTGGTGTTTTCTCTGTGCTGCTGCTGCTTCAAAAGTTCAAGCATATTACAGGTATTCTAGGAAATGTGCCATGTTTGGCTTAGATAAGGGCTAGAGCTTTAGTGTTTCTGTAAAACAATGCAAGTTAAAGATTTGCTTGTGTAATATAAGACCTCGGTATTGTTTTATGTCCTCTCCACAAAGATCTGCTAGGAACAAAATAAACAAAGCTGTAGAAGTGCCTGTGTGGTGATTATTTTTTGTAATTTATAAATGAGTAGGCTGTTTCTCATACATAACTCATGTTTGTTCCTAGAGCTTTTACTGGTATCTGTTTAAACAACTAATTTGACTAGAAAAACACAGCATGGATGCTAGTTGTGCTATCATATTTTGCCCTGGTTTTACTTTCCCCACTGTCAGGACTGTTTGGGGAAAAAAATGGCAACTGTTGCTTTGACTTCTTGATGATACAGAGCAGGAGGAATGTGCAGGACAGATGAAGAGCACTCCACTTGAGTAACTACAGGAATTGCTCTTGATTGACACTTTAGAAAAAGCATTGGTGGAAGTTATTTTTAGCAGCTTTTGTTTTCACTCTAAGAAGGCAGCTGCTAAGTGGCATGAAAACTCCAGTGATGTCGTGTAACATATGGAGAAGTTCTGCATTTTGGTCAAGCTTCATGCTCTTTTGTAGGCATTTTTAAATTGTAAAAATACTGTAAGAACAAGAGCAGCAAATTCAGAGTCCCTGTTTGAAATTCGGCTTAATTTGAGACCTTGTCTGCTAAAGCCATGCTGTGTTTGATTTGATAGCTTGTCGAGAAGGGGGGGATCAGGCAGGGGTAGAGTAATTGACTTCTAATTAAGTGTAGTGCAGTGTTTGTGCAAGATGGTGAACGCCTCGGGTCTCTCCGGTGCAATCTGTAGACAGCCCAGTGACTTGAAATGTAGCTTGTGTTACTGAACTTTTAAAGTTAAAAACTATAGTAGTGTTGTAGGTACCGAACAACATATGTGGGAGAGGGCATGTCGGAGTAAAACAGCTTCTCTGGCAGAGCTATGTGTAACCAAACCTGCTGCAGACAAAAATGCTGAACTTTTGGTCTCAGGATGGTACTAGAGAAATCTCAGCTGCTCTTTAACGTTTGAGTGGAGGCCTGGGCTGTTGTGCATCATGTCTGCTAGGGAGGTTGTGCATGTCAGAGAAAGAAATAAATTACATCATCAAAGCTTTTTATGAAGGCTGACACCTGATTGTAGATATCAGCATTTCGGGAATTAAACCAGCAAGTACTTCAGCTTGTCTCCCTTACCATGGCTGAAAATGGGAACTAAAGTCTCACAATTAGTAGTGGAGCAGCAGGAGACTCTTCAACCATCTGTGCAGCTATTAGAGGACAAGAAGTGCTGGTGCAGATCCTCCAGTGGATCCAAGCAGCTCTAACACAGTGGGGAAACTTATTAAGAATACTTAAATAAGTATTCTTACTTATAAGTAAATAAGGCCAGAAAAGAGATGGCATGTTTCGTTTTCAGGAATTACTACATTTGTGGTTTTATAAATACATTGATTCCTGGACTGTAGCTGGAAGCCATAAGGCACTGTGTGCTGTCTTTTAGAAGTCTTTAACTTACTGTTTAAAGGCTAAAATGCTGGATTTCTGTAGGCCATGCTTTTAATTACAGTCAAATGTTACTGGTTTCATTTATGTAATAGTGGGTGGACAGAGCTATGATTAAGTAGTTGCTAGAAATCTTGTTATGACTAATCTCGGTTTGGTGTTATTTTAGTTTCTTAGTCTCAGCCTTTATGTACAAGGACTTTTATTTTGCCAAACAGTTGGAATTCACTTTAGGAGAGCTGGGGAGTTGCTTTAATACAGAAGTTAGAAGTCTAAAAATGTTGATAAAAGTACTTGGAGGGTGTATTTTATTATATAAAGGTAGGCACGAGTGTTTATTTTTTAAGACTGGTGACCATAATGGTCTGCCTCTTAGGCAGTGAGCCAAAAGGCAAGGAAAGCAAGAAACCTAGATGGAGCAAGTCTGAAACAGGGTTGTGGAACATGTTTTTTCTTGTTTAAATGGCTCTGGCTGATTGGTGCTGCAGAAGCTCAGGCACTTATGAGCTCGGAATGAAATCTCTCACCACCTCCTTCCTGCCTGGTTTTGATTAGCCAGAGCAGACTCACCAGTTCCAGTGCAAGGTGAGCAAAGTAAGATTGGGTGCAGAGAAAAGTTCTTACTCCACTGCTGAAAATGTACATTTCAATATTAATTTTTTAGAAGCTTAAATTACTGGTAGTGAACTTACTAGAAAATGAAACATCAGACCGAACAGGTTCTAGAGGCGTGAGAATGAGTCTTCTCTGTGCCTCAAGAATGTCCCAGAGAAGGTCGCTTTTGTTCCTTTTGGTGTTGTGAAGGTTTTCACATTTGTCCTTTAGAAGCCAGACCAGGGTAACCTGCTTTATAGTGTTGGGAGTGCAATTCAGGAGTATATTCAAACTGACCTGACTGATAGCTCAGGGAGCTGAAATAGCAAGTTATCATTTTGGGGAGGCAGAGTGAACAGCTTTCTCCAACTCCCAGTCCTGGCTTGTTTCAGTCAATGAGTGCCAGTGCAAGAGAAGATGGGATATCTTAATTTGACAGCTGTTAAATTAGCTAGCTGCATTGTCATGCTGCTCCACAGTTCTTTCCCAAAGAAGTTTTTAAAGGGTAAATCCCTCTCCTACTTGTATCTCAAGCCTGTTAATACAGGAAAATATTCAGAGATTGTATTTATCAACAACAGAATTAAACACACACACACACACACCTTTTTTTGTGTGTGTGTGTTGTTGGTAAAAGAGAGGGCATACTGAACATAAAAAAAAAAATTAAAAAATCTCAGACTGTGCACGGAGCTGGCATCTGGTTTCCTTAGAAGCAGGTGTGAGAAGCAGTGTGGAAAACTGCATGGTATGATTAGAGAGAGTTGCAGCAGATGGGATGTTAGCTAGGTCTCAGCTCAGAAATATAACAGTACAATTAAAAAATGGTAGAGTAAAATTCTACATAATTTTGCACACTGAAGACACTCTGAAAGCTCAAGCATTTCAGCTAATGTCTCCAGATGCTGCTGTGGATGGTTCCTGGGGCTAATGCAATGTGGAACTCCCTAAGTTAATAGAAAGACTTGTTACAGGTTGAGCTGCAACATACACAGTAACTTGTGGTTGTGACAAAGCTCAAATCTACTTAACCTGCCTTAAATTGTGTGCCACTAGGAAAGGCTGGTTGATCTTGTTAGATCATTGTAAATGATGTTCTGAAGCCAGTCTTTTGTTATCTGAAGGAACAGTCCACCTGCTTCCAAACCAGAACTTCAGTGATTTAAATGGAAGATACACAGTAACATTGAGGTAGGAATGCCTCGGAATGTTTGCAGCTGGAGAGCTAGTAAGGCCTTGACTAAAGCTAATTTTTGTGAGGGTTTTTTTTCTTTTGCAGAAGCTAAAGGGTTAATAGGATATTTTTAGCAATAGTGTTTGGTGCTTGGGCTGGGTTTGTTTGGGGTTTTTTTAAATATTAACTGTCATTCTAGACTAAAACTTCAGTGAGTTCCTTCAGGTTGTGAAGATTTAGTTCAGGAGGCTTGGGAGTCAAGCCTGACATTAATGTCAGGATATGTGTTAAGTACAGTAGGTCCACAAGTATTTCTGGTTTGCTTTGAGCAAATCATTGTAGGGTAAGACATCTGCAAGACAATGCAGTTTTCCTTGCATGAGAGTTTGAGAAGAGTGATTGGGAAGACTAAGGCTGTAAGGGCATTACTGCTTTTGAGGACCTAGTTGCATACTCACTTCTGGAACCTCTCACACTGTTAAAGGATTATGCACCTCAAGTGGGAACCCAACATGGGAACCAGTCTGCACTGTCAGAAATACTCTTTGCAGAGTCTATTTTAAAAAAAGAAATAGGTTCCCATTAAAAGTTTTCCAACCCTTAACTGAAACTTTTAACAAAAACTTAATGGTGTTGTCAATCTAGTGTTTAGATAAGATGTGGGTGGAGTGGGAAGGAGCTGGATGGCAGAGGTTTGAAGGGAACCCGGAGCAGAACCTTGTCCGGCCCCGGTTTGAGTCTGTTCAGGATTAGATCAATGGGGAAATGTTCAGTGTTCCAAGTTTGTCTGTAAATCAGTTTATAAAATATTTGACTAGTTGATGAAAACATGCAGGGAGTCATTTTGGGGCAGCAAGAAATATTGTGAGGATTATGATTTGTGTTTGCTCCTCAAATACTCAGAAGTAATGATGTGTTGAGAAATGGGATTTGTCAAGCTTTTTCAAACTTTACTCATGTCAATGGATACAATTTTCTAGAAAAAATAACAGTTTTGGAATTGTGTAAAGAGTGTCTTGAAATACTTGTCAGGTTTTTTTATTTTCATTTCAGGGACTTGGAGTAGAGCAGTCTTGATGAATGTTCAGTCAGGTGACTAGCAGATGTTAGCAAGCTTACTAATACTTGTGGGGTTTTTTGGTCTGAAGATTAACAAAATTTGGTGATTTACCACTTCACAAAATGGATGTTTATATAGATGTTTTCATTGCCAGTCACCTTAAGGCTATGGTCTATTAGGTATTTTCCTGCACAGTAATGACTACTGACACTAGATGGCTGGATGTAATCAGTGTTAGTCCCTAAAAGGAATATTACTTCTCATTATTCAAGAGGTGTTTTACATTGAAGTTTCTTTTATTTTCTTTTTTTTTACAGAGCTGTAGGTAAAACATGCCTACTCATCAGTTATACAACCAATGCATTTCCTGGAGAATACATACCCACTGTGTAAGTACTTGTAAAATCCTAAGAACTCATTTATGTCACCTTCTCTGTACTATCTGCCATTCCAGATTCCTTATTGGAATGGTTCAAGTGGGCTCCAAGCACCGCTCATTGTTTAGCTGAGTGTCTGGGGGTGTGTAAGGAGAAGCACTTTGTGCTTTCACAGCTTAGCACAGTCACACCTGTGCTTGTTCTCAGTCCGCCTCTGTCTGCCCCCCAGGCCTGGCTTATTGGGGACTAAACATTTAGCAATGGTTCATCAGGTGCTGTTCTCTTTTAAACTAATGTGTTATGTCTGTCTTTAATATCATTCATAATAAGCAGTCCAAGGCTAAACAGCTTGTCAAACATCTTCCTGTAGTCAGAAATAGCTGGTCTTCGTGACTAGAGAACTTTTTTTCACTTGGTCTTCCACTTTTTGTACTACTGCCAGTCCTGTGCTAAGCAGCCACAGCTGGGTAGCTCCTCAGTCGAGATGGTGGAGCTTGTGTATTTTGGTCCTTCTCCTTTTCTGACATGTGAGGTTTTGTCAGTATCAGTATTAGTGCAGTTCTCTTTCTGAGGGCCTGTTGGGGAGAGCCGTTTTATACATCAGCAGCTTCTTTGCCCTTTTTGGATATCTGTGTTTATCTGGATATGTTGTTCTCAGTATTGATGAGGTTTTTTTAATTTAAAGAAGTACATACTGAGATGTAGTTACCCTTTCAAGGCCTTGCTGTCTCAATTACTTCAGATTCCTTTTTTTCATCCTACATTCAGATTTTTACATTACAGTATGCTTGTGTTCCCAGTGAATATAGTTTATCCTCAACAAGGTATCAAAACTTTTGTGCCTACAGTGCTCATGAGATAAAAAATCATGCCTCTACTGACCCCTGGTTAACTGATGTTTTACTGGAAGGTTTTTTGATTAGCAGGATTAATACTTTTTTTTTCTCACCTGCTGTTGTTGCTAAGGTTTCCTTGGTCGTTGCTCATGTATCTTCTATTCTAAATCTTACAGAATGAGACAGATTAACATGCTCAATGTCACACTAAGACTGGAAGGTGCTTGCTAAGTACATCACCTGCTTTCCTGTGCTTACTGAGATTAACACTTCATGTGGAAGTGTTAATCAAAAGGATGATTTCTGTTCAGACTGGTCCAAGTCTGTTGTGCATGTTTTTTCCTTTCATTACCCAATACTAGGCCTGGTATTTAAATAACAACTTTACTGTTTCTGGGGAGCAGAAAGATGCAATAAAAATATTTCTTTTTGTAGTGTTCCCGGTTAGTACTCCCTAAGAAAAAGTCCTCAGGTGCCCTGTTTTACTGGAGGCTAATGCAGGTGACTAACTTTTCCTTATTTTTCAGTTTTGACAACTACTCTGCTAATGTAATGGTGGATGGAAAACCAGTCAATCTGGGTTTGTGGGATACAGCTGGTCAAGAGGACTACGACAGACTACGTCCGCTCTCCTACCCACAAACAGTAAGAGCTGCAGAGTCAAACTAGAAAGAGACTGGACAGCTTTGTCTGACCTAAAAGTGTCTTTCTTTTTGAACATACGGGCAATGTTGTCACATCTGGAGTTGTATTTATGGTAACAGTGACTTGTTGCAAGCTCCATTCTTCATTCTACATGCTGTAGCACTACAATCTTTGATGTGTCCACAGTTGTACAGATATAAAACATGCGTGCTGGTGTATTTGCACGCACTGATACATGTTGCCTTTGTGTAGTTGCAGCCTGAGAATTAGCTAGAATGCTTGATTTAAAACATGAAAAAATAAACAAACAGAAAACCCTCAAAAAACAAAAAAAACCCTTGGTGAATAGTCTCATCAGCTAGTCCATTGATTTTACAGCTAGCATGCCTGCCAAAAGCGGGGTTTGTTTTTGTTTTCAGGCGTGATGTTTGGCTGCAACCTTACACTGTCACTGCTAAGCACTTGATACTGTTCAGTCTCTGTGAAGATGTTCTAAATGTGAAAGGGGCAGTGCTGAATGAGGATATTATTGGTATTGACAGAGGCTGAGGCCGAGCTCTGCAATACACTTAGGCCCATGGGTATCTTATTACTTATTGTAGTTTGTGCCGTAACATCAATACAAACATGCTTCTGTCTTCAGTGCTTGCAACTGGCTAAGTCCTGTCTGCATGCTGTAGCTTTCCCTGGGTAAGGAAAATGCTGAAGTGACCTGCTCTGCTCTTCCCAGTGTGACTGCAGCTCATCTGTGTAGAGGCTGTTTCTGGCCTCTGTAGAGCAGTTACATGTATCTGGTGGAGCTGTGCTGTAGGTAAAGAAAGGTGGTAATTTGCAGGGGTTTTTGGCATTAGTAACTTTTATTGACTGTCAAATATATGCTAATAATGTAAAATTGTTCCAGTTATTCTGCAGCTTAACTGCTGTCTTGAATAATACAAATTTTATTTCATGAACTTTGGTGCTTTTTTAAGTAAACTATTAATTCACAATTTTCCTTAATTCACTGCTCACTAACTCTTACAGTTTGGCTTTTCTGTTGGTTATAACACCCAAGATGGATGTGAACTTGCAGGTTGTAGGCAATTCTAGTAGAAATGCCTTTTCTAGGAAGAGAAACAATGGAAAGCTGTTCTTCACTATTATTTAGGTATTTATCAGATACTTAGGAGAACGTGAGCTTTGTTTAACATAGTAAAAATATTTTCTAAAAAGAATCTCAGGGTAGAAGGTGTGTTGAAAGTTCACTGGGTATGAGAAAGCAGAGGTGTCAGGGGGAATATTGTTCCTTCCTTGTGTCAAAGGGATAGGAAGCACGTGCATGTCTTCAGCATGCTAGAATAATGGTGACTTTCTGACAGACTGCAAAAGAATTCCATATTTTTGGGAAAAAAATAATCTCTTCTGTACAAGCATGTGGAACAGTTAAGTGAAGGTTTGAAGTACCCCCAGTTCCTTACGTTGTGTTTTACAGCAGAAAATGAAAAAGGCTGGTAAGTCTTGGAATTGCTTTTGAAGCAACCTTCAGATTTTTAAGACTTGTGCAATACTTAAGATTTGTCATCAGTTAAGGGACAAAAATCCACATGAAACTTAACAAAAAAACACAGAAAAAGGGAACAGTGGTGCTGATGAAGCCACATTTTTGTATTTTTTTCAGGACCTGTGTTCAGCCTTCCCCTTCCTTCACCCTGCTATTTAAAACTCACCCCCCACTTATTCTTGTGGCCTCTGCTTTTCTATTTGTGCACCTGGGCAAGCAGAGAGCAGGAATTGGTGATTGCTTGGCCAATATGTGTGTCTTCAGTAGCCACTCAGCAGCTATGAATTTCACAGTGAGGATTTTGCTGTAGTGGAGGCATTAATTTGTATCTTTATTCATATTTTTTTTTCCTTAAAATACACAGGAATGTGATACCTTCTCTTGAATGTATCTGAAATCTACCAGTATTTCAAAATATTTGGGGAAGAAAGAAGTTGAGACAAAAAAGGTGGTTAACCTTTTGTTTCCTTGGGAGATGAAACAGAAAGGAAAACTAAGTTAGGATGATGGTTTTCATGAGATGTTTGATCCTGCTAGTCTCCCCTGGCAATGCAGACAGACATTATGGGGAAGTCCAGTGGCCTCTTCTGGATGCAGGGAGCTGGCTGTGCTGAATTGCAGGGCAGTGTCTCTCTGAAGAAGAAAGGCCACGTTGTGAGTATTTGTGAGCATAGATCCCTGACTGAGGGAACGTGCTCCCTTAAATCCACTGCAGGAGTAACTTTATCTCCTACTGTTACTAGGTTGGAGGAGCCAATGGTAAGGGTTTATCTTCCAGTCTGACAGACCAACCTATTGCCGTATGTAAAAGTTTAAGTAAACTTCAGTTCCAAGTTCTGTCATCTTGTGATAAATTGGCCCCTATTTTTTTAAACAACTACTTTTCTTGGAACTATCAAATTGCTAGATTGGAGAACTGTTACCAAATCTCTGTATATGAATTGCTGTGATTAAACCTTTTCTTGCAAACAAACAGCTTTTCCTCCTATTTATGAAGACTGGTAGTGTGCAAGACACCTGAAATCTTCAAATAATTCCTCATAGTTACACTGATTATTTTTTTTTGGGAGACAGTGAAGGAGAGAGTCTGCACAATGTGCAGAACTTCCATTCACCACAAACCTGCAGAATTGGAAACCAGAAGTAGTGGCCATAGTATCACATGATTTGATGTTGTTTCTTTCTCCTTCTGGGACGCTGCTGTGGAAACCTGTTGGGGTGATGCATGAACAACTGGGTTGCAAGTGCTTAGCAGTGCAGATGTCAGATGCTGACCTAACAAAATGCCTTGAAATGCAGCACAATCAACTAACATTCTGAAATGCCTGATTCTTTAACACATTTGATACCGGAGAAGTACAGATGCAGAGGTAGGTTGGGGAAAGCTGGGCTTGTGTGTGAGTTGCTTATATAGGTCTGGGGTCACACAGAAAGGTTCTGCTGGATAGAGAAAAAACAATGTTGTGGTTATTCTGAATGCTTGCAGACTACAATGTGTCATGTCTGAAGCTCATTGGTTTTTGAAGCGTGCACTGTATGGCAGTTAGGGGAAACTTTTGCTCTAAAATGTTTAATCTGCTCTAATTTCTCATGTTTCTTTTGCCTTCAGTTGAAAAGCAAGATTTGTAAGATCCATGAAAACACTTTTCTTTCCACTTCCTCAATTTAGAAAGGGAAGGAGGGAGTTTTGAGTTTTTTTAATACCCCTTTCAATCCTAACTCAGAAAAATTCTGGAACCTTTTTATTCTGACATTCAGTAGAAGAGGCAGTTCTACATGATGCTTTGGATTTGGGCATGAAAGTAGTATGTGTGGAAGTAGGTGTTTGATTTTTATTCAGTGCTGCATATTTTACCTTTGCAATTAAGATTAGAGTATTAATACCACACTGATATTTGAAAACCCCTGCCAACATCTACCTTGCAGCATCCTGTGCTCATGAGTTACGTGTCTTTGAAGGCTTAAATGACTTGGAGGTCTGCAAAGAGCACCCAGCCCCAGGTCAGAAGCCAGTCTAGCCACTCTTCGTTGCTCCCTGTGTTGGTCAGGGCTCTCATCTGGAGAATTTTTTCTGAATGTCAGCAAGGGAGATTAAATGACAATTAGGGAAAAGCAGCTTGCAGTGTAGGGGTAGTCGCCTTTTAGTTGCCTTTTATAAACTTGATTACAAGCTATTTGTTGTTGGTTCCTTCCCCGTGCCCCTGTTGCATCTGCTTGTAGCTGCCTGGGAATGGATTTCCCACTGGGAAAAGTACCTCTGATTGTCATGTGCAGCTGTGTTGTTTGACCTTGTCCTCTGCAAGTGTGGTACAGGTGTCTGTGATACAGGTGCTACTGGCCTTTGCAGGGTGATGAGATTCTATGTTTGCTCTGCTGGGCTAACTTCTATTAACTTGCTTTGTAGGATGTTTTCCTAATCTGCTTCTCCCTTGTGAGTCCTGCTTCCTTTGAAAATGTCCGTGCTAAGGTAAGTACCAGCTGTTATCATTGTATTTTTGAGGGTCCAACATAGTGTTCATTCATAGGGAAAAATATTAGGTGATTAAAAAAAAATAAGTCAGGCAAGGTGAAATGTAATTTGAAAAAGCAGAAATCCATTTGCCTGACTTCTTGGTCATGGAAGTTCAGGGCACAAGTAACTCTTCATAGAAGTGTGACTTGTTCCTGGATGCAGTGAGAGGGTGACAGTAGCTTGAGCCTTTTCAGCCAGCAGCATGCTCAGATCAAGAAGAGAACTTTGCTCTTAAAGCAATTGAAAAATATTTTAAAATAATTGCATGTAAAAAATCAGGTTGATAGGACTTGTTTCTTGCACCAGCCAGCAGGGTAGCACCTGCTCTGCTGCTGCTGCTGTGGGCTGCGGGTCCCTGGACTACTTGGCTGTAGGGGTTTGTGGAGCCCTCACAAACGGGAGGTGGGAGGTGCAGATCAGAGATTTCTGGTGTAGGGGAGAAATCCAGCCCTCAGCAGGGTAAACTTTTAATTACATGGGAATACCTGTTGGCTTCATTAAAAATGTTAGCAGTTGTATATTTCTTAAGACTGCCTTCCCATGGGGTCTTGTGTGCTCCCCTTCCTGTGACTGACCCTTGGAGTGTGGGGAGGGACCCCTGCTCACCCAGCCCCGCTCTTCCCTTGCAGTGGTATCCTGAGGTGAGGCACCACTGCCCCAACACTCCCATCATTCTAGTGGGCACCAAACTGGATCTCCGGGATGACAAGGACACTATTGAAAAACTGAAGGAGAAGAAGCTGACTCCTATCACTTATCCACAGGGCCTTGCCATGGCCAAAGAGATCGGTATGATGGCAATGGGGTTATCGTTGACTTGATCCCAGTTTTGTTTGTGGAAGCTGTTGCACCTTAATGAAAAAACAATGCCTGGCTTTTGTTGTGGAGTTAGCTAGAAGCAGTGCTGTTGTATGTGTGGAAGATGTCTTGGTAACAGCCTCCTTGCCTCCCACAGGTGCAGTGAAATACCTAGAGTGCTCAGCACTTACGCAGCGAGGCCTCAAGACAGTGTTTGATGAAGCGATCCGAGCGGTTCTGTGCCCCCCTCCTGTAAAGAAGAGGAAGAGAAAATGTCTGCTGCTGTAAAGGTTCCCCTCCCGCTGCCCACTCCAAACCCTCTGCTTTGCTCAGAACAATGGAGCATTCACACTCAATGCCAAGTTTTTTCTGTTATAAATTAGTTCTCTTCCATAAATTCTTGAACCAATCAACAGTTTCACGGTTTCATTTGTCTGAGGTAAGAGTTACCTTGCATTCTTCTAAAAGCAAACTCCTGAAATGACAAACCTATGTCAAGCCTTATTTTTAAAATCCTGTTCTTGCTCAATTAAGTGTTGCCAAACTCTGCTGAACTAAGTTGCATTGTTGTGCTATGAACACTAAGCACTAAAACTTTTTTAAAGATTCTTGAAGATGACTCTCATTTCTAGTAGGAAATGCAAAAACACTTTCTAGTTTTTCACAGTAACAGGACCATAGAATTAGCAAAACTGCCCTCTAATGGGTTTTCTTATTCAATGTTTCTCAGCCCCAGTCAGTGCGTAGCATTGTGTATCAAACCTGACTCTTTGACAATGACTGACACCTTGGAGTCACAGTGTAAAATGCTTTCTTGTTGGTAAGGGCTTGGTTGCAATCTAGTTCTTGCTGCTGTGATTGAAAAAATAACTATTCTTACTGAAGTGTATCTAGTCCTTTTGACAGCATTGTATTGTGATGGATAAATGGAATATTGGGTTGGATCAAATGATAGTGCCAGACAGTATTTTGACACTGTACAGCTGTACACTACACTGCCAGGGCAGCTGAAACTGAACTGACTTCTCTTGCAGGTTAAAATCAGCTGCCATTTTCCCAGAGGTGCAGTAGTGGAAGAGAGGTTGGGGTGTTCATAGGGAAATTCCTTGGGAATTTCAAGTAGGGCATTCATTCAGTTAGGTACAATATTGAACCAGTCATTCCTACAACTCTTGTGTAGTAAATGCTTTTCTTGTAGAATCTTCTTCTTACTGAGCAATATAACTTGTACTTTAAAACCTTTCTGATTATAGACATTGGCTTTATTTTTTTTTTCTTAGAGTAGATTGTTCAAGCATATCCTTATTTTCCTGTTGTTTCTGGCCCAGTAAGTTATATGCTTTCTGAAGAGCTTTTAGTCTATTAACTAGGTGTAAAAATCATGTGAAGCAGCTTTACACATCTTAGTAATTTTTATATTTTAAACCTCTATAAACCATGAACCTTCTGAATTACCACTATTTGCCAGATGTCCCCAGCACTGTAACATGACTAATGCAGACAGTGTTTTTGATGTCACTACATGTGCAGCATAGATGGAGTCATGGTCACTTGGGTCTGTGAGGTTCTGTAAATTAGTGCTAATGTTCTGTACATCCTAAACAGGCAGGAAGATGATGTTGGACTACACCCTTTCAACAACTAAAGCAAAATTTTAAAAGAAAAGTTGCAAAATTGTGAAGTTTTTACATTGATCTTTTGCTAATGCAATTAGCAGTATGTTTTGCATGTATGACTTAATAAATCCTTGAATCACATGTGTGGCAATGTTTGAATTACTGAGCAAGTGTTCTCATTCTTGTACCACCAAGTCTGTTTCTGCCACTGCCACCAGCAGAGGTTCCTTGTCCCCTGGGGGGGAAGGGGATGTGCTAACCACAGGCCCTGATCCTAAGACCCAGAATTAAACACAGTACTTGGCACCATTTCTTCAGAGGCCTTACACTGTCATGTGAGTTGTTACCAGCTTCTGCTGCTGCTTATGCAATGGTGTAAAAAGCTATGACAACCAAGGGGGGAACAGAGACCCATGTCTCTCTATTGTGTGCAAACAGCAGCGCTTGCCTCATTGTCCCTCTAAAAAGGTTACTTTAATGGGTTGTAAAACGATGGTTCTGGTGCAGCAAGGATTGTGCTAAATGCTGCAGCCTTTTTTGCCTTTTACACTTACCCCGTGCTCCAGGTGTGGTAGCTCCTTGTCTTCAGGGTGGCAGTGTCCCCAGGGACCAGCCTCCCCGGGGGTGGGGCAGGGGGACACAGGCAGCCTGAAAGCTGCACCACTGCCCCCTCCTCGAGGAGGGAGCACCAGCCAGGCCTGCACTGTTGGCACTGACTTACCTTGCTGCCTGCAGCTGGCTCTGAGCCAGCAACCCTGCCCTCACACCAGCACATCTGAACATACTATGACAGAAGTCTTTCTTGAGTGCATTTTATTTTGTCTCCATAGACAGTATCACAGCAAGAACATCCACACTGGTCTCAATCACGTATTACTTTTATGAATTTGTATAATTTTTTTAATTTTGTTTTTTAACTTTAGAAATGCTGCAGAGCCCTAAAAGAAAAGAAGTTAAAATAGCTGCACGCTAGAAACAAGGAACCCACTTCTTAAATAGAGTATCTTTTCCTGGCAGCATTGATTGGTGCCCCTGATGGAGCTCACAACTGACATGATATCAAAACATGAACAGTAATTTATTTTTTTTCTTCCTTTCTCATTAAGTATAGTATTAGTTTTAAAAAAATAATAAAAGTAGTCACATGGATCAACAAACAGAACAGGCAGGTAAATTAAAGACTATTGCACATGGGTAGCCAAGCAGCCTTGAACCACAACACACTCCCCCCACACCACCCCAGCCCCCGGGCGGTGGGGACAGCCCTGCTCACTCACTGCGTGGGGCAGCTCCTGCAGCTCCCTGGGCTGGGCACAGGGACACGGCCTGAAGGGACGCGGCAGCAGAAGGGGCTGGTGTGTTCCTGAAGGTCTCACAGGTCTGGCTCCACCTGCAGGCCCAGCTCCCCCCCAGGCCCCAGGGCTTGGCGCTGTGTGAGCTGGAACTCACTGGGGTCTGTAATAGCTCAACCTTCAGCACCAGTGCAGGACCTGTGCTTCAACCAGCACCACATCACTTGAGGTCGCTGCTGAGGCAAGGGCTTAATGCCCTTCTTTATTTTATGCCATGTGAGAAAAGTACTGAAATCCACTTAGGTCTGCACGTGGAATGTGTCTGAATACTTGAAACCTGCAAAGAGAAACCCCCCACACCTCTCCTGTGAGCTATGGCTGTACCTCATGGGTGTCACACTCTCGTGTTTGACATGAAATGCATGATTGATGCTCCTGAGATAAACTGTTCAGAGCCTTAAGCACAACATCTGGCATGTGGTCTGTCACCATCTTGGGACTTATTAAAATGCTGCTGAAGACTGTTTCGTTTGACCATCTTGCTGTATATTTAATATCTGAAGACCACAACCTAAAAATAAAAATACAACACACCACAGGGATTAATCACCCTGGTATCGGCAGGACACTGTGTGTAATGCTAAAAAAAACATCAACAAAGCAAAAAAGCCAACCCCCCTAATCATTGCTCCAACAAACCCACAATCTTCGCCCTTACAGCAGTTTCAGCTTTTCTGTTGTCTTTGTCTCACTTCCCTGCATCCACAAAAAAGCAGCAGAGGACAGGAAATGAGGGGCTGCATAAGCACACTACTTACTGGGGCAACTGGGCCTCTCCAGCCTGGCCAGGTTGGTATTATGGTTAATATTTTGCCTTTCTCATCACCAATATCCATATGACTACCAGTATAGGTATTTTATCACTCAACCACTACTGGGACATAAGGCTGCCAAGATCTGCAGTCTCAGGGATGAACTGCAGCAGGTCCCTGCTGATCCGCCTTACAGTGTAAATGCAATATGTGGGCAGAGTAAACCAGGTACTTTGAACGTGAGAAGCTGCTTTAAGTAGATTTCAGGAAAGCAAGACAATTATATTCATTTTTCTGCTTACCTCTTAGAGCTAGATTCTTCTACAATGTGGATAATCTTTCCAGGAAGATACAGACGAGGATACTGAGGTGGTGAATTTAGGTGCGATTCATCATCAAGGGCATTGTAGGAAGGAGACCGATGAACCATTAAGCTCTCCTCAGCCAGGAGGGGCTGGGTGAGGGCATCTTGGTTTCTTCCATCCAGCTCTGTTGGGAAGTTATCTGGATCTCCCCCAAATACTTCATACCAACAACCACGTAGCAAAATCTGGTACTGAATTCAGAAAAGAAAAGCAGGTGAAGTTGGGCATCTCTTCTAGTCTAGTTGTGTAGTTTCAGGTGATGTGAAACTACAATTAAAAGACTAAAAATTACTGTATGCTCCCAGCGTTTTGTTTGATACAATCTCCTAACCCACTTTTCCCCCCAGAATCCTATTTCACCATTATCTAACCCAAGCCACCAGTAACACTGAAGAAAGAATTTCCATCTTTGCCACTTGAATTATTCTGTGTGGGTTCTGCTCTGCAGATTTATTTTTTCTTGCATCTGTAATTTCTACCTGTCGTTAACCTTATCCTGTGTTTACAATATCACCCAGGCCCTCTCCACGACTCCTGATCCTGGGACTACATGGAAATCCTGTGAGTATAGCAGGTTTAACTTTAGATGTTCAGAAATGGCAGTTTTCAATCTTTAAGCCACTTGTCTGTACCTCCAGTATCAGCTTGCCTGACACCACACTGCTCCAGCACTTTCAAACTGTTTCTCACTAACAGTAAGAAGGCAAGTAATTAACACCATAACAGAGAAGTATTTGCTTTCCAAATGAACTCGGAAGGTAAAATTTAAATAAAACCACTGATTTGTTTACTTACTGATACTAAATGTTTAGTAGAGTAAGTAATCTTACTGACTTTTCATCATTTTAGCTGGTTTCATTTTGCGTTTTCTTTCTTTAATTTTTCAATAGTCCCTCTATCAGCAAAACTAGCAAAAGGATCATTTCAGGCCTTGGATGCTGCACATGGATATATCTTCTATGTCTTATTGAATCTTAATTTCCAACAAGGCAGCTTTATAGGATGAGAGACTAACACAAGTGTCACTGGATTAAAAACAAACACTTTTGTTACAAAACACAATTGTAACTCTCATCATTAAGATCAAAATGTACACCCCAGCAAAGCTGAGGCTTAGCCAAGCTAACAATCCCACTGACTTTCAACCAGGACTGCATTTAGTTACCTTGGGTCTGTTGCAATTTGCCACAATTCTCACTATTCTCCTCTTTAAATCCTCCATGTTGGGCATACTTAACCTGTTTAAACACACACAGAGCAAAGTGAAGTAAAGCCTCCTAGTCTGCAATCTGTGCTGCTCCAAAAGAACAAGTCAACAATACATCCATCTCACCTTGCAACAAGGTCCTTTCCCACAATGACTGAAACAATGAAGTGCTTAGTGTAATCTGCAAGGGACTTGCTTAAAAAAAACAAGATGAGGCACAATTAGTTCTATGATGATCATTAAAATTCAATAAAAATACAAACATGTAGCAACAGCAGCAGCATTTGCAGTCGGTTCTTCAGAAGGCTTTCAGACCTACTTGCTACAGAGTAATTTCAATTATCATGATCATGGAATGTGTAGATGTCAAAGTAGACCAAGCCAGACTAGTCAGGTGAACATTTTATTTCTGAAACATTTATTTTAAGCTCTAATTGTACCATCTGACAGAATTCACTAGATATACTTCATTCTGTAATATTTTCCCCAAGAACTCAACTGTAACTCAAGATGGAGAAAATCTAATTCCAGTGGAAAATGCATAAACAAACTCTTAACACAGTCAAGCTCAGGGCTATCAACTAATGTACTTGTCAAGGACCTTGAAGATTTTTACATCTTAGACACAGAACCAAATAACAGAAGTCTTACCTCAGAAGTCCTCCTGGA